TCCTGCTGTGTGGCATGCAGTTATTTAGGACTTCAGAGTCATTCAGTGTTGTTTCTTGCAGGCCACCTAATGTGGTAATGGTTTCCTTTGTTTAAGACAAGTTTCCACTGTAGTGAGATTATTTTAATAATGCTATTTAGCTGGAAATAAAAGGAATTTGGAAATGAAATAAATAGAGAGTACACTCTTGAGGGAGAATGAGTGGTGATGTGTTTCTCAGTTGTCTGCTACATGCAGATTGTATTTTAGTAACTGGCTAAGAATTTGTTAGTGCCCACTGGTAACTTTTTTACTTTCCTTTGATTGTGGCTTTTTCCCATATCTATGTACTGAAAAGCAGCAGTTTGCTATGATTAGTTTGCATGCAGTTCTTCCTCAGTATATGTTGAAGCAAAGTGTCATTTCCCAGTTAGCTGATTTATTTCATTTCTTGGCTTTCTTTTGTTTAGGATTGTGTAAGAAAAATATTTTTAACATTGGTCAGTGTTCGTATGTCCATTCAGAAAGGGTGTGTGAAAGAAGAGAAATTGAGATGCATGTAACCTGTGGAATAAACTACTCTGGAAAACCATTCACCTGCACAAGTATCTTTGAATTTTCAGTGCTGTCTTCTGTTTGAGCTATTATTTGGATTTCAAATAGGTGCTTTCTGATTATTTTAATGGTTTTGAATAGAAATTACTGAAGTCTTAGAAAAAGATAATTCAAACTTGCATATTAAATCTTACAGTACTAGTTCTACATGTGTTGTAGTCACTGTAATTATGCCTTTTGGTTACTTATGTCTTGGAAAGGTATATCGTGAATTGTAAACAACTTGAAGGCAGCTACTGCTTTGTTGTCTTGCACAGTTTTCTTGCTGTGCCAGAAGCAATCGAATAACTCATGCTGTAACTGGAAAAATTTCCCTGGTTTTTTCTTTTTTCTTTTTTTCCCCCCCTCCAGATTCTAAGATACAGATTTCACTTTTTGTGGACTGCTGAGAAGAAAGAGTGCCTGACTTGGAAACCTGCTTTAAAATGTCTTCTAGTTTATGAACTCACGTGTTTTTTTTTTTCCTTCTCCCCAACTTCCCTTCTGTTTTGCAGCCATAGACCTTTTGTATGGGGGTATATACTGCTTTATGTGTCAAGATTACATATACGACAAAGACATGGAACAAATTGCCAAAGAAGAACAACGAAAAGCTTGGAAATTACAAGGTTTGGTTTTCATGCCTGAATTTCTTGCTTCTGTTTTTAATCATACCTATCCCTCCCATTTGTCAATGGCAAAAACCAGTAAGGGGAAGAAAGAGCTCTTTAGAGATAGTAGTGCAGGCCTCGGGAGAGAGAGATGTCTAGCTATTGACTTTCCAGGAGTTAGACTGTTAGTTTAACCTGTGCGCCACAACTAATTATAGCAAAAATATTTTACTTTTAATTGCAGAAAAATATAAAAATACATAACATTAATCCTGAAAAACTTGCATAATATCAGAGTCAGATCTGTATTAGGTAGAAAATGTAACAGTCTACTCCTTTAGGCTAATGTAGGCAATAAATCTGTTCCCCTCACATGAAGTGCCACCTTTGTGTGTGATTTTTTTTCTTTTTCTTTCTTTTTTTTTTTTTAACTAGAACGTGCCAGCTTACTTACACACCTGTGCTTTCATGGTACACGCACAGTATCTATGTAGAAATATTTACACACAAATATATGTACACACATTTGTTTTATTCAGTTTGCTTTCCCTAATTTTTTCTTTTTTAGCCTTCACCCCAACAGTGGTTTCTCACTACCAGTGTACAATGACAGGTAAGAGGCGTGGGCTGGCGACGCACTTCACTAACAAGCGTCCCTTTGCTGATTATCCTGCCATTTTAGACATGAATCACAGTTAAGAATGCCAGTTTTATCGTGCAAATTGTTTTCCTCTTGTTTGGAAATGTTCCAATGATTGAATAATTACAGCAGACTTGATTTCATATGCCCTTTCCTTGATAGAACTATTCCAAAACAAACCTTTTATCCTTTTTTTTGGGGAAAGAAAGTAGCATTTACCTTGAACTGCATAGTTTTTAAGCATCAGTTATAAAAGCTTGTCATCTTCCATTGCCAGTGGCCTCTAGGGGGTATGTTTTCTTAAAGTGGGAAAGTCTGTATTTGATGACAGACAACTTCTGTCTAGTAGTGTCTCTTACTGAATCCATGGCATCCTGTTTCAATGTGACAGCCTTAGTCAGGGCTGATATGACTCCAAACCATTCTTAACCTCATTTCCAATTTTAAAAATAGCAGCTAACATCGTATTAGCTAGAGCTTTTCTGATGGCCTATCAAAAGTATAGCTGCTTTTACTTAGTTCCTACTACAGATCCCATTCTACTTTCTGCTTTTTCCACATTTTGATGGAGTTGGGTCAGAGGAAAGGAGGATAGTGGGATTGCCATTGAGTCCTGGAACAAGAAAATACAGCTTAAAATGTTTTAGCATAAAGCAGTGGTTTTCAAAGCAAGACAAAAAGGAAACATGTTTTTAAACCTTGCATTTAGGCTATGCACCTCTTCTGAAAACTCCTTCAAACCCTTCTAAAATGTGTTGGTTTGGGGATCAAATTATTCAACTACAACAACCTCGCACTTCCTTGTGATGCTACAGAAGAGGAAGCCCCACCCCCCCCACCCCTGTTCCTTACTTTTGAATATGTAAATTTAAAGAGCAATTTCTTAATTATGTTGTCCTTAGTAAATTAATTGTTTGTGCCTTCTGAACTGAGATGCAGCCAGTTTATCCACCAGTGGACGTCAGGCTGCTATAGCTTATATTGTAGGGTAATTACAGCTACAAGAGTGTTCATCTTGTCATCTTGGACCACCAAGTTGTGCAGGGAAGGGAAGAATCACCAAGAGGAACTGCCAGGCAGAAAACCTTCTCTATACTCATTAACTGACTAATGGACGGCATATTAAATATAGATATATGAATGCATATTTACATAAATATGCATATTGCATCTTCTGTCCCTCAGAACAAATCTGTAATGACCATTGAAGATATAAAATGAAGGAATAGACAACAATAAACTTTAAATTACTGGAGGTACCCAGTATAGACATTTTTCTTCAAAGTCATGGCATAAGAGCTTTTGTTTTGTGGCTTTGCAAAACCACAAAAAAAAGAAAGGGAGATGCATAGGAGAAATAACAGAGAATTGTTACTTCTTTTTTCCTTTTGTTTTTCTCTGTTGCTTCAATCCATCCTCTCCTTCCCATAGTGACTCAAGTTATCTGAAATATTAGAAAATATAAAGAGAGAGGGAACCTTTCTTTCCTCCAGACTGAATGTCAAGATTAGTACAAACCCCAAACTCTTGGTTTTAATTTCTACAACAGAGTTAGTTTACCTGAGGTAGCATTGCCAACTTCAAGAACTTAAGAAGTGAATACAGTCTGCAAAAACTTGATATTGGCTTAAAAATTGGAGTGTCAATGTTGTATATTTTCAAACAAAATAATTTATCCATAATACTTGAAGGATATTAGTATATAGTGTAAGAGATGCTCACATAACAACATGATGCCTGGAGAAGAAAACTTTAAGAAAAACCCCAAATATAATGAGATTCATTTCATAGTCTTGTAATATTAACTCTTAGCGTGATGAGTTCCCATGTCCAGCTGTAGTTCAGGGTTATGTGATATAACTCTGAACAAGTTGCAACTCTACCATTCCCCCCGCCCCAGTATTGAATATTCTTTAATAATGAGGGAGGTGAGAATACACAGAGCCCTTCATTCTAATTAATGTTTGGATTTGTGGAAGTGGGAAATAGGGGCATCTGCTAAAGTATAGCAGAGTAAACAAACTGTATTAATGATTATTTACAAAAATGTGACCTTTATCAACTAGAGCCTTCAACACCTTTTCCTTCACTCATCCATATCTCCCTGATAAATTTTCTGAAAAATGACAATTTGTGTATTTGACCTAATAAAATTCATTCTTGGTTGGAGATTTCACATGCTGACTTGAATCTCTGGCTATTTTATAGCATCATTCTTAAAATGATGAGTTTTCATTTCTATAACGCTACTTTCCTTTAATTGTAAACGGTAACCTCTGCATGCTCTGCAAACCTTTGTTTAAGGTAGTTTGTAGTGGAGTTTTTGGCATGTTTGTGGGTGTTATTAAACCTTTTATTAAACTTTTTTCATTCTTTGTGTGTTGTTTTTTTGTTTGCTTTTTGTTTGTGTTTTTTTTTTTTTTAAACTTTTGAACACCAAATAATTCCTAATAAGTAGTTCTGTCTTTTTTCCCCAAAGTTTCAACAGTAATAAAACCTCAATATCCTTGTTAAATTACATTGCTGGAACAGAACACTTTTTAATTTCTGTCTCTGACTTAACTTGTGCTCTTTCTAATGAAAGGCTTCTGTAAAAAAAAGTTTTCTGTCTTGTTTTGCTCTGTGTTTGCTGTGGCATTAACTGTACCTGGTTTTCCATTTGGTTTAATTTCTTTTTAATTGAACAAGATTTGATTCACCCAGAATCCTGCAAAGTAATCCAGTCTGTCGTGTTTAACTTTACTCGAAGAGTTGCTCTTGTGAAATGCTTTAGTCTCCATCCTCTATAAGCATTTAAGCTATATAATTATATATAGATATGTATATAAATATATATAAATAGTCCCACTGACATATGTGGAACTATTCCATGCCTAAAGTTGAGCGCACATGTGTTTCCAGGTGTGAATTTGTTATATTTTATTTAAACCAGTATTTAAACATATCCCAGGGTTTTTTTATTATGAGACTTTGTCCCGTTATCAGATAATATTAACTGTGTTTGGCCAGGTTTAAAGTACAGTGAGCCCAAATGTTCAACTTCACAGCTGGCCAATGCAATAACTGGTACTAACAAGGTGTTGAAAATTTTTAGGTTGTTTTTTTTTTTAATAAACCAATTTATATAAATTCCTAAGGGAGTATTACAAATATGAAAAGGGTTGCTGAAGACATCTAATACAAAACTTGTTGCAAGCCAATGTTCTGTCATATATGAACTGTCCATATGTGCGTCTCTAAAGTTGCTTCATTCATTTGCCTTTGCATACTGTGTAGTGTATTCAAAGCATTGCAGCTGTTTTATCTCATCAATCTGTTACACAGTAATTAGTTTCCTTTTCTGTTTTCCTGGGTGTGTAGCTTGATGCTGAACCTTGGATAAAGGAAAGGGACTATATGATTCTGGTATTCTTTCTTATGCTTCTTGCATAATCGATTGTGGACTCAAATAAAGCGAGAGATGGGTGCATCCATGTAAATAAGAATTTTCTAGTCCTCAAGAATCTGAAAATGAGACCTTTTATTACTAGAACCTGGAGGGTCAGTAGTAACTATGAATTGATCAGTTTTGGGTGGGTAGCCTCTGACAAGCATAGCTATTTCTGAAAATGAAGATCAAAGAGCTATTAAAATTTAATGTATATTATGCAGAATGTGTAAGCCTCTAGCTATATTTTCTACGCTCCTTCTTTTCATATGTATGATTTATAATTTATTTTCTGTAGCACAGCACTGTTTCTGCTCCATGCATTCTGTGAAAAATAACTCTTAATTGACTTTAATCCTCAGTTTTAGAATAGATTGCTTGTCGTCTTACTGTTCTTTATTTTTAATGCCAAGATGCTTTTGTGACTCACTGTAATTGACCTCGTATAGTAATTTCTCTGTGCTACATAAAATGCTGCAGCAGTACTTAGCTGGTCAGCACATGAGTCTTCACTGTTGTGTTTTTCTTATATCAGATTTACACTGAACACAACTCTGTGCTTACTTAAGATCTATTTATTCTCCGTACTACTTACCTGACTCATTTCTACTATGCTTTCCTTTGAACAAAAGCAATGTATTGGAAATACAGTGTTGATGTTTAAAGAGAATAATGACAGATTTTAGCTGCAGCTCATGAGAAAGGGTAGTTAAGTATTTGGAGAGTTTGGGTTGGTTGGTGGGGGGAGGGTTGTGTTTAAACCTACTACTAATTGTGTTTTTAGGTAAAGTTGAGATATGTCAGTAAAGTGAATCTCACATATTAGAACTTGCTGATATCCAGTCCTACATCAGTGGTTATAAGGAGAGGTCATACTCTGTAATGTTATACCCTAAGGCATGTAGTAACTGTTTAGTAGATGGAATTACTAAATTCTGCTGTTCATCTGTAAAGATTTAACCTGTATCTGTCCATTAAGTTGGGTCAGTTTTGATTTATTTAATAATCAAACTTGTCAAAGTTGGGTGATGAGATTTTTTTTGGTTATCCTCTGACTTCTCCTAAAATCATAGGTGGTTCTATCATTTGACCTCCTCTGGGCACAAAGAAATGCATTTTTGAGTAATAGTGTATTTATTCTTGTGCTGGAATTTCTTTTTAACTGAAAGGAGGATTATAATCCAATAATGGAAAACTTATTTGGGCTAGATATTCTTTATAACTAAATAAGTGCTTTTCTTTTAATCTTTAGTTCTTATTTGTTGGAAGATTGGTTAATATTTTTCTGAACAATATTTTTGGGGGGGGGGGGGGGGGGGGAAGAACAAGCCGGGAAGAAATCAGTCTCTTGTAGCTGTACAGAGATTGAATCTAACTTAATGGACAGCATGTTGAAAGTTTTTACTTGAACAGTTTTTTTTAATCCTTTTACTAAACAACTTCCTGAAACTTTCTTTTCCTCTGCTTAGGCATTGGAGAGAAGTATTCAACATGGGAGCCAACCAAACGAGAGTTAGAATTGCTACGGCACAACCCCAAGCGGAGAAAAATAACCACAAACTGCACCATAGGTAAGTTCTACAAATCCTTTCCGAAGCTGATTCTCAGCCACTTGTACGTTCAAAATTCTGTGGTGTTTTTCCATAAATATTTTTACACTGAGGTAATTGTAGTGGATTTCCTTAACTGTTAGGTTGACAAAATAAGTTCATTTCACACTCCTTTTTTCTCGCTGTAGAAGGATATCTGCTCTGTCACTTCAGGTACTGCTGATGATTCATCTGTGTAACAGCTACAAAACAGAACTTTTTTTCCAACAATATGCATTTAAAGACTTGAGCAGAAATCAGTGATGTTATCTCATCTCAGTCTTCATCAGAGGTCCCATGCAGGTGCATGAGGGAAATCCTGTAGTTCAGATGTGTCTTTAACTATAGCAGTCTGTTGGCAAATCTGTTTGTTAACAGACAGAATAACCATAGTGATGATTTTCTGCTTCATGTTCTAAAGCCTAAATGGGGTCTCTTCAATTTCATATCGACTCTGAAAAGATGTAATTTGTTCTCCAGTGTGTGTCAAATAGCAGTTTTGAAATGCATATCGAATGTTTAATGTTTAAAGTTCAGTAGTCTGGAGCAAAGAACTTTCTGAAATGTGGGCGTATCTACGTATAACTGGAGAGTATTTGCGTGTGGGTGATGAAAATTAAGAACACTTTCCAATTTTTTTTCTGCTGTCTAGGTTGGGAGGGGAGTAGGGGGTTAAAACCAGCTTCCTTACAACCTCTACTACAGGTTATTGGTCATTTTCCTGTACTGTTAAATGCACAGTAACAGTTTAATGATGAAGGTACAAGGTTGGAGATGTAGCTGTATGTATGGGAAGTAGGAGACTGATTAAAAAGTTTTTTCCTGATTTTTAAGCTACTTACTGTTCTGTGAGAACGCATCACGCTTTCAGCACACTTGCTTTTGTCAAAATCCATGGAACATAATTGCTAAACCTTTCTAATGTCATGTTTCTAATACAGTAAGTCATATTTAATCCAAAATATGTGTATGTTATTTGGAAAAATGAACTGAGAAGCACAGATTTAATTGTAGTAAGTTGAAAACGTGTCTTGAATGGTAATTTGAAAGAAGGGACCTATGCATTTGCAATAGTGGAACGGGAAAGACAGTTGGCAAAACACCTGGACATTCAAGCAGCCTAGGAAAAGATAACTAGGCAAAGATTGCTTGCATCATGTTCACACTGGGATTATGTGTTTTATGGAACTCCAGTATATTTTGTAAAGACTGTTAAAAATTACTTATGATAATAGAACTGTGCAGGGCAAAAAAAGAAGTTGGCTAATATTCTGAAGGTGAATGTGACCTTTCTGAAGAATGGAAGCACATTTCTCATTTTCCAATTTGAAGGAATGCTATGCCTACTTTTAAAGGATTTTAAATTTTTCAGTCTGTTTAAAAAGAACATGTCTGGTTGCATGAAATCTCATACAACGGTGCATGGGCGGGGGAGCGCTCGTGAAACACAGGGGATAAGGGAAATGACTGATCTCTTTACTTCTGCAGGCATGCTTTTAATAATTTCTCCTACTGAGCCCTGGAGCTGTCTATGTGCTGAGATTTAGAAAGAGAAAAAAAATCAAAGCACCCAAGAGACATAATGCAGTTTTGGGCTACAGTTAAAAGCAAAAGACCTAGCTTTCTTTCACAAAAATACATTGGGGGTTTAGCTGAAGGAAGAAAAAACCTGCCATTGTCCTTGAGCCTTTTCTCTCCATCTAACCTGCTGCTAAATATATATCTGCTTCAGAGTCTTTTTCCCTTCACTTTCCTCACATTGACTTGTCTGTTTGCAGTTTCAGATCAGTGAAGAGCCTATATGCAGGCTGAAATGCTGCTATTATCTGGACATTCCCATTTCTCTCTTTTTCTAATACTCAATTCTTTTGAAATCAAGTTTTCCTCAATCCCATAGCTGATATTAGTGAATCCAGTTTATCTTCTGAGGTAGGTGAATGGCTCAGAGAATAGGCATAATGTCCAGTTTTATTGGTTCTGAAAATGAAGATGATGTTGATAACCATCCGTAATAAGCATTGCACATCTGTTGATCAGTTCTGTTTACAAAAGAGTCTGTTTAAAGCATAACCAGATGCCTTTTACATATAAAATGCTCTCTGCAAAGCTGTTTTAAGAGGAAGGCCGGGGATGTTTGCTGCTTTCTGTCTTACCTTCAGAGATACACTGATATCAGTTGGGAGATGGCATGTTTACCTGCTCTGCAATCACCTTCTGAAATGCTTATTGTGCCAATGCCTGTTTCAGTGTTTGTGCAAGACAAGTGCATTAGTATTATAACTGAAGTAGGTTGGAGTGGGACAACACGCTGAAACCTGGCCTTGAAAGGGTATCTGTAACTTGTATGTGAAGGGCTTGCATGTGATTTTGAGCCCTAATAATAAAATACATTAAATTTTACATTATTCATATATAGAACACATTAAGGTGGTAAAATATGTTTTGTTGTAGTTCCATGTTATATCTATATTATTTGTATGACACTCATTTAGGTGAATGTTTTTCTGTATGGCAGAACCTTCTTTGTACATAAAGGGAGTTTTTCTTATTCCAGATTTGTAGCAATCTCATGATGCTTCTCAAACAGCTGGTTGTGTCTGCTACTTTTTGAGCTGTTTGAACTTTTATACAGCTGCAGGATCCTTTGTCTTTCATTGGCACCATAAATTAAATCTGAAGAATACTCAGTCATGAAATGAATATGTTATAATGGAGGATTGAGCTCATAGTTCGTTAGACAAAATGCTGTGCAAAACCGCTAGCTTCAGCGAAATGAAGTGATAGTTCCACTTACGTGATGATTTGAAATCCATTGAAAAAGGAATTTCGTGTTCACATCCTCAAAAACAATTACAAAAATCCAACAAAGCAACTTAACAAAACCCTATAGATTTTGCTTGATACCCTTTTGAAAGAGTGTGTGTTTCCATCTCAGATATTTTCCTAGTGAGAAGCTAGTGAGAAGATAAAGTAACTTTATAACTTTGCTTGAATCATTATTTTGCCATTGATCAAGTTGCTCTTCAGATGAAAACTTACATTGGGCACTGCTCCAGGCTGTAGAAACTCTGCTGATTCCTGCCTTTTGGGATATAAATGAAGGACTGTTCCCAGTGTTGCACAGAAACATCTTCAGCGTGGCTTGGAACGCACTGTTAACCCACTGGGAACGTTGAGCTACCTACATGCAAGAACCCATGATGCAAAATCCTCACTTAGTGTGGATTTTATGTGGGGTATTTCATATTCTGATGTCCAGACTGACAGAATTGCCTGGCAGATGAAATGTTGATGAAGTTTCTGTATTTCAAGACATTCAAGAAGAGTGTATAGTCTACTTGAACCATAAACATACACTCTTTGGTAGCAATATCAGCTCAAGACATTCTCAGACCTTGTGCCCCAGTTGTTACAGTGTGCTGCCTTTTTCATTGTGCTGGCACAGGTGTTCTCAGGTGAATTAGATCAGGCTGAAGGACTGGCATGTTGCAGAGAAGGCAGAGGGTGAGTGTAAAGTAGAGATTTCCTAAGTTCCTGTATGTGGTTCTCACCAGCAGTACCGAATCATGGTCTAAACTATTCAATTCATAAAGTATTTGTATTCATAGGAATGCTTATTTTTTATTTTGGATTGAAACTGGTGTTTCAAGCATCCTAGAAACACCAAAACTTTTATATGGAAAGTTAGATAAGACTTAACAACTATTTAATTAGATTCTAACAGTGTAAAAGGGAAGTCTGGGGTTTTTTTCCAGTTTCTTGTCTGTGAAGAGGCTGCTCTCAGCAAGTGAGGGGCATGACCAAGCTCCCAAGTTCACAAGCAGATTTTTTATTACGGGGTTGGGCTAGAAGTGACAGTGATACGGTATCTTTCAGGAACTGTTTTCCAAAGCTCATCTTGCTCAGCTATCATTAATACCCCCAGCAGATCAGTTCTCCTGGGTACATGAAGTATTAACTTGGGATCAGCTGGTCTCCGATTAGCATATGAAGTGAATTTGTGGCTAAAGATTGGTATGTTAACAATAGGAAGAATTAGACTCCCAAGGCACATGGATAATTAGCAGGAACCACCTGGGATTCCCATTTGCAGTGTTGCAAAAAGGCAGAGAGGATAGCCTTTAGAGGAGACTGAGCAAATCCTTTTCAAGAAGAATGATGAGGCATGGGGGAGGTGGTAAAAACAATAGCGACATGGGAGTAGCAGGTGGTTTTTGCAGCTGTGCAACACTAAGCAGTGTGATGTGACAAAGAGCAGCATGAGTGCAATAAATATTGCAGCAGAGCTCCTGTGGAAAGGTGGCAAAGGAAGAGGAACAGTGGCCTGGAAAATATTTCTGGTTCTCTAGACAAACTACCAGGAATGTTTCAGCTTCTTTAGAAGTGGCGGTAACTTGAATGTGTTGAAGACTGTATGAGTACGTGGAAGTTTTTTGTGAATGTACCAGCTTTCTGCTGTGCTCTTTCTAGTTGAATGCTACTTAAGGTAGCTCAAATGGAAAAATGAAATGAAAAACGTAGTTTGGTGCAGCACCAAATTTTTAGCTGTAACTTAAATTTAAAAGTTACTGCTTTGTAAGCAGTAATACTTTTATATTTGAAATCATGACCACGTGTGATAGTTTCGCTAAAGACCAGGACACCACACGAAGTGAAACTTGAATATAGAAATGTCTTTGATTCTTATTTTTTTTTAACACTTTTGTGGGATGAAGGAAATGAAAATCTTCTTTAAGACTACTCAGGTGAATGTTTCCTGTGTGACTACTTTTTAAATCTAACTTCATAGTTAGAGTGGTTATCTAGTTGGAAAACTGTTTCCTAGAAGGTTGGATTAGTAACGTAAAAAAATGCTGCCCCTCTATTGAGGAGAACCTTCTGTTCCTGTTTTACCTTGTTATAAGCTCTGACCATTGGACTGAGTTGTGTAATATTTTTCCTAGGTCTAAAATTGATAAGCTTGATAGCAGAAATAAATTTAA